CTCTCTCTCTCTCTCTCTCTCTCTCTCTCTCTCTCTCTCTCTCTCTCTCTCCATTGCTTACGTAAGGGCCCCTCCAGGTGTTGGAGATGTCCTGTTCCTCGGGAGATGGGAGATGCGTGCTCCTAAAGCTTGCAATTAATGATGTCGGTGATTAATTGCCCCTTTCAATTCGCTTTTAAGGCTTATAGGCCTGTGATTAATGGCTGGCTTTTTTTACGGTCCCGTAGGGAAAAGTACCAGGAGATTTCAAACACCGAGGCTACGCGGGAACAAAGCAATGCAGCCAAAAAAGGTAGGCCTGACTCTGCCGGGTTGCCGAGAAGCTGGGGTGGAGGACAGGAAGAGGGGTAGAAGGCAGATAAAAATAAACCACCCAAGTGACTTTGGCTCCACGCATGATCAACAACCCGTAACTAAGCCAGCGTTGCTTCCCTTCAGTAGCTTGACTTTGTCACAATTCCTCTGCTGTCATCTACACCCAGAGATCTGTCTCCTGCTTTGCACATCGCAGCACCACCAATATACACAAACAATTTTTACTGTTCAGAGGAGTAGTGGGATGCTAATTTTTTTTTACTACCGGTTCTATAGCTTGGTGGGCGTGGCAGGGGAAGGATAATGCAAAATCCCCATTCCCTCCCGATCAGCAGGGACTCGGGAGGCAGAGAATACATAGGGGCGCGGCCAGCCAGAGGTGGTATTTGCCGGTTCTCCGAACAACTCAAATTTACGCTACCAGTTCTCCAAAACTGGTTAGAACCTGCTGAATGCCACCTCTAGTTCAGAGTTAGTATTCATCCGGTTCACATTGGTTCAACGGAAGCTGTTAGTGGAAATCGTGGGTGGGCCTGCCTACCCACCCAGGCTCTATGCTGTCCTATTTAGCCATGTTTTTGAGGCCAGGTGCATGCGTGGACGTGTGAGCAAAGCACGTGCATGGAAGGCCGGGTGCATGCGTGGAAGCGGCATGTGCACTTGCAAAGTGGGCATACGCGGGGCGAACCAGTGGTAACAAAATGTGAAACCCACCGCTGGTACTGTTGCAACGGTCTGTGAGAAAGACCTTGGGAGACAGAAGGAGGGGATGAAATACTGCCTAGGAAATGGACAGATAAGAGACAGCTTAGCCCGCAGCTGCAGAGAGGGCAGGGCAAAAAGCTCAGAGGAGACCCTCCCTAGTTCTTTGGGCTGTAAAGGAGATGGAGGAGACACACAGAGACACACCATAGGGAGGAATGACCTTGAGAGTCAGGAGGACAAGAGGGAATGGTTCAGGTAAGAGACTGGGTAGCCCACAGCTGTATAATGGGCAGAGAAAGAGATTCAGAAAGGACCCTCCCTAGTTTCTCAGGCTGTAAAGGAGACGGCGGGAGAATTGTACTTTCAAACCTGCAAGAGTCTGTTAAAGGAGCATTAGAATAAAGTAGAATTCGCTTGTCTACCTTGTAAAACTGACAACTCCTGGACACAGACCTTCTCTCCAAGAACTAACATTCTCTTGCTGAATTTTCTGCCCATATCTTAGATGTGCTTAAAGATGTCTGGATGACTGCCAAGCAGCAGGGAAGTCAGGAGATTCAGGCAGTTCAAATGAGTATTAAGATTTATTGCAAGCATAAGCTCTCTACAAGAATCTGGCCAACTAACAGCCAAGGGAAATGAGCGGGAGATAAGACATTATTATAAGAGATAAGAGAGCTGCCCGTAGATCTCTTGTGGGTGCACAGGGACTCATGACTGATGACATGTTTGACCCCCTCCCTTGGGCTCAGCTGGTCGTCTCCTACAATGACCTCATGTCAACCTAGGCTCGGTGGTTTCAGAGCCTAAAATAAAATATGCAATGAGCTGGTGTAAGCTTTGTGTGAGTTGGTGGAAACTCAAAGAAGGTGTGATGATTCTCCTGTGTCCTTCCAAAAGCTGGAGATATTAACTCTCATACCCGGTTGACTTTCGGATCCCTATTTGTCTTTGGTTTATGAGGAACCCCATTAGATTTCTCTGGTCAAGCTGAGCAAGATGGTGGAACTCTAGAAGAAGCACCAATGGACTGTCCAGCTTTGCTAACTCAAGGTTGACCTCCCGTCGTTTTCTTTCTCTCCTTCTCTACCCCACACCCAGCTTCAGACAAAAACCAGCGAAGGTTGACAGCAGCTGCCCATCTTCTAGAAGTCATCCAAGGACTGGAGCAGGCCCACAAGGCTTTTGAACATCAAGAAGGTGGGGAGAAACCAGGGACTGGCACTCTCCCACCTCCCTAGGTGGCATCATCTCCCATTGGGAACCAGTTGTTTTGTCTATGTTGTAATGATGACGTCGTCTTTACATCTGTTTGGAGAAGAAAGCAACGACCTACACTGCAGATTATGCTCCTGCTGAACAATGTCCCTTTGGAAGGAGAACGAGAGAACTGAGAAGAACATGGGAGAAATTACAACACCTTTCTGCTCAACCAGTGTTGCACATGAATCTTTCTCAGAAAAATGGGATGGGAGTCCAGGTTCTGCTTACCACAGAGATGGAAGGAAGTTAGTTCCTCTGGCCCATAAGTTTCTTGTAGTCCAGATTGTGAAGATCTCTTTCTCTCTCCCCTCCCTCTGTTTTGTCTCTCTCTCTCCTCTTCTCTATCTCCCTCCCTCCCCCTCTCCCCCTCTCCTATTCAATCATCTAACTATATGTCTATGAATCTATTGTCCTAAATTTTTCTTCTTCTTTCTTTTTCTTTCTTTCTTTCTTTCTTTCTTTCTTTCTTTCTTTCTTTCTTTCTTTCTTTCTTTCTCTTTCTTTCTTTTTTCTTTCTTTCTTTCTTTCTTTCTCTCTTTCTCTTTCTTTCTTTCTTTCTTTCTTTCTTGCTATTATCCTATCTTATTCTATCTTATCCATCCCATCCCAATAATCCATCCATCCATCTATCCAACCTTTCTCTCTCTCTTTCCCTCCTCTCTTCTCTCCCTCCCTCCCTCTCCCTCTCCCCTATTCAATCATTATCTATATGTCTATCTATGCATCTATTATCCTAATTTCTTTCTTTTTTTCTTTTTTCTTTTCTTCCTTCCTTCCTTCTTTCTTTCTTTCTTTCTTTCTTTCTTTCTTTCTTTCTTTCTTTCTTCCTTTCTAGCTATTATCCTATCTTATCCTATCCAATCCTATCCTATCCTCTTATCTATTCCATCCATCCATCCATCCATCCATCCAAACATACATACATACATACATACATACATACATACATACATACATACATACATACATA